GGGGTCCCGGCTCCCCACCCCCAGCTCAGCTGGGGGAAGCTGCGGGCAACTGTCAGCCACGGCGGCCCGAGTCACCGCCATTTCAGCTCGGGACGAAGTTTTAAGTCCCAGAAAGCTTCACGCAGGCGCGTGACGAGGTGGCGGTGCTGCGGGTATTGCTTGCAGCAGGGCTACGCAGCCCCATCTTCCCTTTCTCCCTTGTTTCCTCGACAGAGCAGCTGCACAGAGCCGTCGGAAGAGAACGGTGTAGGTAAGCCTCCCATTTGGCCATCGGCACTGTGTTCCTGTCTTCACGCTGGAAGTCGGCAGCGGCAGCCGGCAAACCGCAGAACGCCATCGCGGAATAGCCAAAAGCAACCCGAAATGGGCAAATTGGAGATGGTTACGGGTCAACGTTCTTACTCGTTACTTCAGCGGGATTTGCTTGCGTTCCTCTTGTAAAAGTAGGGGCTAAGGAGCGCTTTGATGAATCGTGTCTATACTTGGAACACGTAAAACATCAGACACTGTTTGCAAGGGTGGAGTACGCCGGAGGAAAGTTGGATTAACCTCATGCAAATTGATTTACATTAATTAGCTAGCTACAGCGTACAGGGCCGCTGACATCTGCCAGGAGAGGGCTGTATAGCCACAGCACTAATACAAAAACTGCCCCACTCTTTACTGTTACTTTTGTTCCCTAAAAAAAAGTGGTTTAAAAAACTCTTCTGAATTAATGAGTTCCAAAGGAAGGACTTGCCTGGGGGCTTCAAGAGCAGACAAGAGCTGCAGCGTTAAAGACAAAGCTCAGCAGAAGGCTTCTGCGGCACGGTTAAACTAACACGTTCTTCTGCCGGTGTGGCTGTGGGTCCCGACTGCCAAGGCCCGGGGTACCCGCCCTCGGAGCATGCTGGGAATCGCTAACAAAATCCTAAGAACGCCCTGGAGAGGGCAGAGCCTCAGCCCTCTCGGCAAAACAAGCCCAGAGGGGGAGAAGTGGCGTTTTCTGCTTTCATAAGGATTTTGAAGCCCTAGTTGTGGCATGGCTTTTCCTGTTTGCTTTCCCAGCTGGAGTTTAGTGGCAAATGCAGCAAAGCGTCACGGTGGCACTGCAGCCAGTTAACAAAGTCCTCTAACGGCATCTGTTTCACAGATGTTCCCCTGACACTTCTCTGCTCTTTTTTCCTCCCTCTCACCAGTTATTCTCAGCCCGTTAAGTTCTGCTGCTGCGTCAGACCCTGAGGTCGGCGCTCTAAATCGAATCCTGTGGTGTGTTTTGTGGGGTTTTTTCTAATTCAGATTATGTCACTGATTCGTTTAAGGCTATGTCCCTGGCAATGGTTGTGTCAGCCTCCTGGGGGGGAGAAAAAACAACAGGAAAGGGAGAGAACAGGTAGGAGGAGGAGACGCATCCTAGCCGAGCTTCCTCCTCAGGTAAACAGTAAGGCAGACCCAAACCTTCAAGTCACTGCAGGCTCAGTGACACCGTCATCTTTAGGGCCTCGGGAGGTAGAATGGGGAAAGAGCCACTTCTAAGGAAAAGGTAATTGCACAAGGGACCTACAGGCTGTCTGCTGGTAACCCCTCTGCTGAGAGGGCTCTGAGCAGGCTGTTCAGAACATGTTTCACCAGGTCTGATATCTGCCAGGTCACAAGAATCTGTGGAGACAACTCGAATCTTGAAGACAGGCTGCCGAGGAGGGTGTGTGGCGTCAGAGGGCGCTGAGCAGCAGCTGGCCGCTCCCGTGTTTGTGGGAAGGGAGCTGGTTCCTGGTAGAAAAGATGAAACCGCAAGCGTTCACAGGCTTACAGGAGACAGTGGGCAGCAGAACACGGTTTCTCACAATCCAAATAGGTTATGCTGACAGAGAGTGCTTAAACTTTTCACTTTCCTGAAATTCATGCTGCTGTGATTCCTAAGGCATTGGAAGGCAAGAGAAAGTCTTGAGGAAAGGTGGGAAATGAGCTACTAGATGGGGAGGTTAATTTGAACAGAACGATGAACAACACTCGAGGCCTTGATTTCTTTGCTTTGTTGGGCTTTCTAAGCCTGTGAAGTGGGAAGAGAAACGATCAGTGCCAAAAAATACCAGGAAGTAGCCAAAAAATACCAGGAAGTACTGACAGCAGGATAAAGTTGGGAGCTAGTAACCACACTACTATATAAAAATCAGTGTTTTGACAGTAGTGTCCTGGATTTCACTTTATATTATTCTGTATCCTAGGGCCAAGCATGGTCATGGTTGAACACAGCTTGATGATCCCCATCAGCAAAGAGGCCTATGAAACTCTTAAGAAAAGAGAGGACTGCCTAAATAATCTCACTTACAAAAAGTTTGCTTGCACATTGACCTTCAAGAGTACAAAATGCACTGGTGAAGTATACAGGAAAAAGCTGAAGCAGGGAATTGACATTTGCGTTTGTAAGGATGATCTCACAAGACACAAGGCCGATGCTTTGGTGAACGCAGCCAATGAATATCTACATCACGAAGGAGGCCTTGCTTTAGCCCTTGTGAAAGCTGGAGGGCCAGAAATACAACAGCAAAGTGATCTTCATATTCAGAGGCATGGGAAGCTCACACCTGGCAAGATCGCAGTGACAGGTGGAGGGAAGCTTCCTTGTAAGAAAATTATTCATGCTGTTGGTCCAAGGTGGTCCATGTATGAAAGGGATAAATGTTGTAGCATCCTTCAGGAAGCTATTGTGAATGTCCTGAAGTACATTACTGCTCCAGAAAATACCATCGAGTCCGTGGCTATCCCAGCAGTGAGTTCAGGTATTTTTGGCTTCCCGCTCAGTCTCTGTGCTCAAGTGATTGTAGTGGCTATAAAGGAATTTGTTGAGGCAAGTCCTCCCAGCTCTCTCAGGGAAATCCGCCTGGTGAACATACATGAGCCTACAGTTGCAGAAATGAAGAAGGCCTGCGAAGAGTTTCTGGATGGTGCCGGGACACTGCGGGAAACTCTTCCAGTTTCCCCAGGCCAGCCTTCAGCTTTCCTCAGACATGGAGGCATTCGCTTGCGCCTTGTAAGAGGACTGCTGGAAGAGCAGAAGGTAGGTGTGTCCCGCTGTATGTTGAACGTGGAGTTGCCTCCCCGTCTTTGCAGGTTTTGGAGCCCAAGAGTTCAGACGACGTGTTGTGTCGGTCTGCTAAACAGTTCTCAGTCTGCTGAGAATTTGCAAATGGTAAATAAACTCCAGCAGCAAGGAGTTGTTTTGGGGCTTCTTCCTGTTAAGCATTAGAACGTGTTTATTTCTTATATGTGCTGCTACGGTATAATAGGAAGCAGCTAAAGATTGGATGGTTCATAATAATATATCCCTATGTTAACGTTTCTTTTCTTCTTGGAACATCATAGGAGTTCACATTTTATCACGCATTCCCTAGAAGCTACTCTAATTTCTTGCCTTGCTTTTTTTCCCTGTAATCTGTTCTCAAGGTGCCACTGCTGGAGTTATTCAGCAAACACCAAAACAGCTGGAAAAGAGAGGTGATGTGCACCTTACCTTTAAACAGCGCATCATCAAAATCGATCCGTGTAACTTTTCAGCGAGGAAATCAGGAGCAAAATGTAGGAGCTCAGTCAAAACGTAGCAGCTTAGTAACCCAACAGAGCCCTGAGACTGGAAGCGACGTCACAGGAATGGCATTTGCTTTTGGCAAATATTTTATCTTTTAAAAATTAATAACTTTTTTTTTTTTTTTAAGCAGTGTCTTAATTGAATAGGAGGTTTGGGGTTTTTTACGTGAGAGCAAAGGATCACACAGTTGACAGCGGATAATTTTATTAACTGGTTCTACAGCACTCAAAGATACCCCACGCCTTCAAGGCTGTGAGGAAAATACATTCCAAAGTCTTGTATTTTGTATTTTATCTTCTTGTATTGTAACTGATAATGTGTTTTATCTTCTTGTATTCTCTCCTGCTCTTGGTAACTGGCATTTGATGAGGTGCGTATGGGTCGCCTCTATGGCTGCGGCAGTAATTCCGTTGAATACACCCCAATGACCTTAGGACCGCTGTTGGCTTCTGCAAACAATGTATGCGTACGAGGTGCTTTGATGCATACTTTGATGGAATACTTTGATGTATTCCAGCACCTCCCTTGGGAGTAAGAGAACCTTTCGAACAGCTGAGCTGCTGCAGTCAGGCTTTTTTAAAGGAATTGTTCCTAGAACGAGTGTTCTTTATAGGAGCAAAGCTTGCAAATAGTAAACTTGAAGTATACTGAAACTTTGCCCTCTTCTCTTCCAGACTACGGCTGTCGCTCATTTTGTGTCCGTGCTTGGCGAGCCGTGCGTTCCAGTTTCAAGTGGACTGATGGAAAAAGCGGGTTCAGCTCTTCGGGATGAACTTAAATCTCATTTTACACATCCTTCGTCTTTTAAGGATCTCGTAGTAACAAAAGGATATAATCTGCCCTGTGATTTTGTACTGCACATTGTCTGGTTTCAGTATCAGCACAGGTCGCGGCTCTGTGAGGTGACGATCAGTTAAGTTGGGGTTTGATTGATTTTCATGTTGAGTGATATGAGGACTAAAGCCCTTGTTTTTCCTGCAGGAATTAAACACTGCAGTGGCAAGATGCCTGCATTTCCTCCAGAGCAAGCAATCTCCCTCAGTTTCTTTTCCAACAAAAGGGATTTGGTCGTTAGAGCTGTCTATGGATGAAGTGGCAGAGATCATGATTGAAGGGGTTTTAAATTTTGCCAGGGCACACCCTAAGAAGAAGATAGAAGTGCAGTTTGTCCTTTCCCCAGATGACCACCACGGCTATCAGGTAACAGATTTGTTAACTACCAATAAAGAAAACTCAAAACTGTAAGAATATTGCCATAGATAGCTACAGATTCCGACAATCTGAATTCCATGCTACTTGTGACACTTGTGAGAAACTCTTTGTCTCAGTAGCAGGTATGATTAATCTTTACAAAACTTTACTTTATCCTCACTAAGGACTAAGTCTTCGCCCTATGGTCTGATAGCAAGGGGAGGGAGCTCTGAAATTCCCGTGACTGTCAGTGAATTTATAAGAAAGACTCTACCCTTAACCCAATAAGGAATAAGGAAGCTTATTCCTCCTCAGGAAATGTCTTTTTTTTTTGGTAAGAAGTTCCTAGGGCAAAACACCATCAACCCTGTGTATGACCTAACATGATAGAAGGGCTGCAGACAGAAGGTGGATAATTCCAACTGCAGCGTGCCGTATTCCACCCTCTGAATGTCTGACTGTGATTAACTATTTAGTAGCCATCTGTTACAGACGTACAGTTTGCTTTTGTTCCCATTTAACTGCACTCATCCATTTCAACAGGGGACAGGGATGTATTCAATATTGTTGGGAATAACATTCTGGGAAAAGCTGACAAATGTCACCCGTTGCGGCCTACAAGGAAGCTGGGGGGGACTTTTTACAAGGGCCTGTAGCGACAGGGCAAGGGGTAATGGGTTTAAATTGAAAGTGGGGAGGTTTAGATTAGATATCAGGAAGAAGTTCTTCCCGGAGAGGGTGGGGAGGCACTGGAACAGGTTGCCCAGAGAAGCTGTGGATGCCCCCTCCCTGGAAGTGTTCAAGGCCAGGCTGGATGAGGCTTTGAGCAACCTGGTCTAGTGGAAGGTGTCCCTGCCCATGGCAGGGGGGTTGGAACTCGATGGTCTTTAAGGTCCCTTCCAACCCAAACCATGCTGTGATTCTGTGATTAATGTAATTTCAGAACTTGGTGGGGGCGTGTAACTACAGCTGTAGACGCCTTGTCTAACAGGGTTTTGAAGAGACAAATGCCTGTTTGATGAGAGAGATTGTAAACTGCTCCTAAACTTTTCTCTTTCAAGGTTTTCCAGAGAAAATTGTCTTCAGCAACACACAAACTGGAAGAAGCGAAACATTCCAGCACAAGCGATCATTTGAGTAAGTAACAAACAGAAGGGACGTTTCAAGTGAACGAGCACTCCAGATCTGAGAATCTGAAATCGCATCCCTTCAAAAAGGGCTCGGTATTTGCAGATGTGCCTTGGGGGAAGGGGGCGGCAAAAGGCGCCAGCGCTTTGTGTTCTTACTTTAGTAGGAATGGAACTGGGCAGACCCCTGTAAGGTTTTCAAACATAAAAATCATCAGTGCCTAACTTGTTGGAAGTCACTGAGTCAAGGTAAATAAATTCTGCACGTGTGTGTGGGTTTTTTCCTGGAAACCTTACCTCCTGGTATCTAATCTCTTATTTTGTTGACCGTACCAGGGGAGTAGTGTGTTTCTTGCACTGTACATCTCGGATTATGTATAGGAATTTGGGACAGCACTCAAAAGCTCTTCACTCTTCCAGGGCACTTGTATTAAAAAAGTCTTTCTTCCACGTACAGAGTCAGGCAGTCAGAGCATAAAAGAGACTGCAAATAATGAACCAGCTATTAAGCTTAGCGGGAGCACACCTACAGCACTGGAAGCGACAGAATCGTGGATCCAAAGCGTGGTGCAAATCCTGGGAAGTCACCGTGCTGTTCTTGAAAACAACTACATTTTTAGCCTGGGTAAAAAGGAGTTTGCGGAACTGTCTCAAGAGCAGCATTCTGGTGTATGTGTATCGGAGGAAGTGAAAGGTGGAAAAGCAAGACTGGAATTTCAGGGCCCTCCTGATGCTGTGATTGATGCAGTGCTTGCGGCTGAAAAATTACTGCTGCGCATGCAGGAGAGGACCACAGACAAACAAGAGGAACTGCTGTACTTAATGGGTATGTAAAGTAAGCAAGTAACTAATTAAAGAAGCGCTTAAATACGGTCAAGTACGAAGCAACAGATGTCCGTGTGTTGCTGAGAGCGGGCAGACGTGCATTCGGTTCACATGCATAGCGAGCACTGCTTTAATTACCGACCTCACTTCTGTCCTGAGCCGCTGGAAGGCCATTTGTTGGCTTTGGTTACTCCCTTGGCAATATTCCTGGCGAGGCACAGCTTATCCCGGGGCTGGCCGTGCAGTACCGCTCCTCCGGGCAGCTTCTCGTTAAACCCTGCCCGCTGCAGGCTTACAAAATTTGCAGTTCGTTGACAGGTCCCTCTGCTGAGCTCATGTGCTGCCTAGGGCTGGACCCACGGGGAGGGGTTGCCTGCGGAGTCCTTGACTTTCCCTAACCGCTGACGCAGGTGGTGCGTTACGAAAAGCCACCAAGTGACACCTTTCTCCTCGTGTTTGTGTAGTCATTCAACACAGACACCGTTACGAGAGACCCAGGCGGTGGGGAGGTGCAATGGAGAAGATAAGTTGCTTTTCTTTGGTTCCCCCTCTGTCTGGTTTCTTTAATAAACAGAGAAAAAATTAATATGTGTCTACCGCAGTCCCTCTCAGTATCAGCCTGGAGAAGATTTAACATTCTTTGTTCTTAACTAAACTACCAAACTGAAGTGTTGGATCCCTCCTCCCTTATTTGTATCCAGGCTACCCAGAAGCAGGGCAGCTTGCAGGAGGACACAGTCACAAGACAAATACCACTCAGTACATCCAGATTTCACCAGTGGAATCACACCTTCAGGAGTTTAAAGACAGACAGAAACAGTTTGAGAAAGCTGGACTTTGTGTTCTCAAGGTAAGGAGGGTATTTGTGGAAAAACTAAACCTCAGCTGAAGTAATGGGTTTAACATATGCTTTAAAACCCTCAGATGGTCTATTTCAATATATTGCTTTTAAAAATTACCATCAAAACAGCCTAATCCTTAGATGTAGTCTTCACTCATAAGAAGAAGTATTTTAAACAATGCAGATAGTCACCCGGCAAGTGTGGTTAAACTCTGAGAAGTCCGTTTGGCCGAATTGTGTTGTCTCTTATCTCATGCTTCAAACGTTCCTTTATAGCACACTCTAGCAAAAAACGGGACTGGTGTGTTAGAATGAATTTCTCAGAGGTATAACCCGATTAGTAGCATGTTGAAGGTGGGATCTGGCTCGGCTGTCGGTGCTTTACTGAACGGGAGTACAACAGGGCTGTGCAAGACAGAAGTCCGGGAGTCTGTAAAGAGGGATCCGCATGGCTCACAGTAACAGCGGGTAACTGGAAACCAGACTGCCATGGGTTTCACAGGAGAAGGGTACTTGGCGCTGAAACAACAGCACGTACCAGCCAGATGAAAGCAAGTGATTCTTGATCTGCACAAGTAAAGGCTTCCTTGAGCCTCCGCAAAAAGCTACATCAGAATTCAACGCAGTACTGTGCTGAGGATTGGTCACAGCTCAGTTAAGCGTCTTCTGAGAGAGCAGAAGCTTGATCGTGCTTCAGCACCTGCTTGTTTTCAGCTGGGCGGTCAGAAACCTGGCATGAGCAGGTTGTGGGGAGCCCTTGCAGGCCCCGGTGCTGCCTTCTGCCACAGGCTGTGCCTGGCCACTGGTGGAGTCGGGCATGGCAGGGAGAGCTGCAGCCTAGCCAGAGCCCCTGACCGTGGGCATCGGGAAGAAGTTCTTCCCAGAGAGGGTGGGGAGGCACTGGCACAGGTTGCCCGGGGAAGCTGTGGATGCCCCATCCCTGGAAGTGTTCAAGGCCAGGCTGGATGAGGCTTTGAGCAACCTGGTCTAGTGGAAGGTGTCCCTGCCCATGGCAGGGGGGGTGGAACTAGGTGGGCTTTAAGGTCCCTTCCAACCCAAACCACTCTGTCATTCTAAGTTTTGTGGGGTGTAACCCTGCACACAGCCACAACCTAACATAAAGGCCCCCATCTATGGATCCTCTTTTCCCCAAGAGCTGTAAAGATTTGATCAACAAGAGCTGAGGTTCTCCACGCCTCACAGGACGCTCGCAGTTCTTTACGCGATCAGGCTGTAAGCACCCACACAGCTTATTCTCACCTAAGGCTGGGATCTGTTCAGTCTTAGAAAATCAGTGCACTGGGATATATTCCCACTGATTTTAATGAGAGGCACGGGATAGTGGCATATTTTTTTTCTGTAGATCAGTTGCACACTTCAGGTACCTTATCCGCTACGTGGTCAGTGTGTATGAGCGAAAGCAAAGGTTCCTGCATTGAATTTCATGGATATTGGTCTCTGTTTGCTTATACTACACTATTCTTTATGTTACAGATTGAAAAGATACATAATCCTCTTTTATCTGCTGCATTCCAACAAATGAAAAAAAAAATAGAGGAAAAGCAAGGTATCTCCAAAATAACCCACAAGTTGTACCAGCAGGTTCCTGCCAACTTCTGTAGCTCGGTGTGCCAGACTGGATTTCACAGGATATATTCTCCACCAACAGGTAATGACTTGCTTTGGCATCTTTAATCAAAACCAACACTGATTGACTACTGAGGTTGGATTAATATCAGGAAAAAAGGCATTCCTACACAAAAAACTGTTTCTTACCTGCATTTAGAGTCACTTGAGCATTACTGTTTTTAACAGGAAACGCCACCCGGAGTCGAGCCGCGGTCTCTTCGTGCTGCCGCCCCCAGGCAACCAACTGTTAAAGGCTTCTGGATATTTTTCCTCCTGAAAATTTGTCTTTCTTTTTCCAGAACAAAAATACGGAGCTGGCATCTACTTCAAAAGGAATCCAAAAAGCCTCGTCAAGGATACAGGTCTGTGGGAAACGGACTCTAAAATGTACGTGTTTGAGGCTGAGGTACTAACAGGCTTATACAAGAAAGGCAAGCTGTCTTACATCACGCCACCGGCGGTGGGGGGGGACGTCACGGAGGCATATGACAGCTTAGTAGATGACGAGAACAACCCTGACACCTTTGTCATCTGCAGCAGCATTAGGGCCCTGCCGCAGTATTTGCTGACTTGCTTCCCGGAGAGGGAGAGAGGTACGTCCATCTGAGGAAAACAGAGCTGTGGCTGTTGTGAAGACCCCTCAGAACAAAGCACAGTACTTGTATTTTAGGAGGATGCTCTACCTAGTAACGTGCTGTGATCAAAGCACCTCGTGCAAAGTGCTTGGAAATATCTGTGAACAAGCCAGTCAGTGCCTTAAGGAGAGTAGAACAAAATTATCTGTGAATAGCAATGGAAGGGAAAGCATCACAGCATACAGTTAAACATTTACCTGGTAGTTAACTTCATGCCTTAAAGGGTTCAGAGCATGGGACTATACACCTGATGTTTGCGTAGGGTCTTATTCTTCCGTTACACTTTCTTAATCTGAGATATTGCATATTTTAGTGAAACCCAAGAAATCTTGGTTGTGCCTTTGCTTCTAAAACTTAAATAGGTGAATGGGTCGGGTGGTTTCCCACTTAGGGACATGCTGTTAAATACACATAGTTCTGGTAAACATGAGGCAAAACTTGATTTTTAAGAGTAGTTGCTGTTACAGTTTGTATTAGTTAAGAGATTCTGAGCATTGTTGATACATGTATTCAAAATAAAAAGTATGAACGACAGACACTGTCAGCTAACCCACACCTTGAAATTGCTCTTCAATTACTCTACCAATACGTCTTAAAGATTAGTGTCAACTGTAGATATCCCCACGTTGCTTCTGTAGTGGCCTGAGGCCTGTAAATGGAAAAGCCTCAGAGCTGTTGTACTCACGTCAGTGTAAAAGGGGGTTCGTTCCAGCTCCCCGGTACCGTGAAACCTCCTGTGGCAAAGCCTGGAACGCTGCCTGACGTTAGCAAGGGTTAAAACGAATCTATTGCCCCACGTGAAAAGCCACCACCAGAAACGAAGTGATAAAATCTTAAGAGTTCAGAATTAAGTGAGAGTGCACAAGTGGAAAACTTTCCTGAACCATTGCAAAACAAACTTTTAAGTGAATATATGTTAGTTTTAGTTTTGTATAAATCGGCGACGTCTACGCTGCTGCAGAAGAGCAGCGTTTGCAGTGTGTGAGCCTATGCTCTGGTGGAATGTTAAATGGGAACCCCCTCGTGAACGTGTAGGAGCCACCTAGCACACCCGAGTCTGTTCTCACAGCAATCCCAAGGCAGCTTTAGACATTACCCTGCGAGTTTGAAAACAGAATCACCCTGTTTCCGCTGTGACGTTTGCATTTAAGCAACCAAGTCTTCTCTTGTTGCTGTCCCATTTTTCCTCACTACTAAAACAGTTTCTAAGAAGCATCACTTTTCGGAACACCTCAAAGAATGTTTTTTGGCACATCTTTTCT